CCGAGCACCAAACCCCCTCTCACTCTGGAAGCCACCTCTCTCCGCCCTGTACTTTTCAACACTTCCTATTGGTCTTCTTTTCTTCCCCCTCTTCTTGAGTCAGAGGGAACTGGAGCTCTGCATGAAGCCATGTCTCCCAAAGAAAATATATTTTTGGCTCTCTGTGCACAAAATCACTTTTCAGCATGGGTAAAGAACCCTTCCTTCATCCTTTTCCTCTGGTCAGTTCTGAAGCAATAGCTTAAGCAGTAGTAGGTTGTGTGAGAAGAGCCAGGAAAATACGCTGAGGTCCACATGCCCCAGACCAAAGGAAATCAGACAACAGACCCAAGACAGAAGCAGAAGTTCCCCACGGCCCCACCGTGTTCTTTCCACTCAGTTTTCATGGGACGGACCCTGTGTTAGCTTCTAGCATGGGGAGAGCTTCCAAGTGCTCTGAGCTACGTTCTGCAGCAAAATAAGGGATTCAGTTTTATGGTGATTTAAAAAAAGAGAGAACATTAAGAAGGAGGCAAGGGGGCTGGAGAGATGGCTCAGCAGTTAAGAGCACTGGCTGCTCTTCCAGAGGTCCGGGGTTCAATTCCCAGCAACCACATGGTGGCTCACAACCATCTGTAACTCAAGTTCCAGGGGATCAGATGCCCTCTTCTTGGCCTCTGTGGGCACCAGACATACATGTGGTACACAGACATATATGCAAGCAAACACTTAAAATAAATAAATGTTTAAATAACAAGGGGATGGGGGACATTGTATAATAATTGAATGCCTTCAGACCCCCAAGAGTACTGTGACACATCCCTTAATGGCTGCCGTTCCTAACTGAGCACTCTAAGTCACTATCACAAGTAGACGAGTGCTCTGTCTTCGGGCTGGACAATATTTTCCAGCTAACCACTGGAGAATGCAGTGTTGTTGGGGGGACATATCTATCCAGTTTAAATGGTTCTGTGGCTCACCAAGCCAGGTGGCTTCTGGTAGCCCTCACATTTTCTGCAGTTTGGTGTTGGTATCTGTGACTTAGAATTCCCTGTAAGTGAGCAAAGCACTGGAAAGCACAACAGGTCAGAACCCCTAAGTCCTCAGGCCTCGGTGAGGAACTGATTCTGAAACACTGGGATGGAGACCAGGGGAGTTCTATGTTTTACAGACCCTGTTGGCTGTCAACAAATTTCAGGATTTCTCTTTGCTCCCCTGAGATCGTGTATTTGTGTAAAAGCTTCTTAGAGTTGGGGTGCATGGCTAACAGTGGGCTACGAGACACGGTGATTCGTAGTAGGGAGAAGAATGTTGGATTTCAGCTTCATAAGGCAGAAGGTGTGAGCCTACCCAGCGGGGGCATGGTGGCAGAGGGGACCAGGGACACATGCATCACATAGCCTGTGATGTCACAGTTTATTTTGCAAAACAAAAGCCACAGGTTGGGTGTGGCAGAGGAACGGCTGTAACCTCAGCCCTGGGGAGGCTGAGGCTGGATCGTGAGTTCAAAGTCATCCATATACATTGATCTCTAGCACAGCATATAGCCCAGGCTGGTCTTGAACTCCTTATAGCTGAAGATAACCTTGAACTCTGGATCTTCTGGCCTCTACCTCCCAGATATTAGGATTGCGGTGCATGTGTGACGTCTCCCCTCCCACTGGGATCCAAAACCTCTTCCCCAGCAGACGCTGCCCCGCCCTGAAGGATGCTTCCGCCTCCCAGCAGCCTTCCCCAGTCCCACAGCGGTAGAACAAGCAGCAATGCAATCATTTGTTCCCTTTTATTTCTCCCTGGCTGGACTCTGAGCACGTTAAACATCACCCTCAAAGCTTCAATCCACCCGTCCAATTACACATCTCTGTTGCATGCCTGGGCCATGCCAAAGATGAATCAACACCTCTTGAGGGAAGCAATAGATAGATGCCTGTCCCTCAGCAAGGTGAGCTCGCAAATACAGTCTGCTCCCTTTCTCTTTCTCGTGCATGTGATGTGTGTTTAAGGCTGGAGCTGCTCACAGGAGGAAGAGCGTAATTCCTAAACCCAAAGAGGAACAGAAAAGCAGAGAGGACTCTTCCATAGAGGAAAGTGTTCTTTAAATTGGGGGGTGACCCCAGGTCGAGCGTATCTATAATCAGAAAAGAGGTAGACATAGTCTATGAGCAAGGACAGGGGCAGCCAGGCGGGAGGCTGAGATGGAGATGAAGCTCCCACCCATCAGCTGCTTGTGGTGTCCATCCCTCAGGCATCCCGGGAGTCTCTGCAGAATCCAGGCCCTGCTTCCCCTTTGGATAAGCCACTGATGTTGGCTTCAGGGCTTGGAAAACCAGTTCAGCTGTTTACACCTGTGTCTTCCCAGTCATGGTCACCACAGTCAAGCCACCCAAATTCCAGAATGCAGTCTTCAGGGTGGTAGGAACCGTGGTGCCATCTTCCAGGTGGCAAGCCCAGGCGTGTTCATGTCTTTTCAGTGATCCAATTTTCAAAAAACAATGATTCATATCTTCCATGTTACACTGAAGGATCCTATAGCAGAATCTTCTAGATTCTCTAAGGACGTGCCCTCCGTATCCTTCCTGCTCCCACAACCCCTCTCAGGGACAACCCAGGGCCTGTCCAGCTGATCACAAGTTCTCCCCAGACTTACTGCCTCAAGAATGCCATGGGCACTGTCCTCATAACAAAGACAGCAGGAGCTGGAGGAGAGAGGGCCAGGCTGTGAAGTTTCCCCTTCACTCCATCCCTGCTGCAGCCTGAGGGGTGGAAGCCTCTGGGGAGCAGCCTGAGGGTCCCACAGAAAGCAGCAGTGTGTCGTCTGTGGAGCTAACGCTGCGTCATGAAGCACACAGTGTTACAGATGAGCATAGCCTGGGGACCGGAGGTAGGGCTTCACTGGAGAGCTGTGCCCCAGAGCCCTGGAGCTGAACTTGATGAGTCTCACGCCAACCAGTTCCCACCAGATCCAGGAGAGTGCGGGACAGATGGAGACAGAAAGAGGCCCTGACTCAAGAGGGTGGAGGACCATGCGCCTCACCGCGTCACCACCCAGACATTCCTCCTGTCGCTATTTTTATCACAGTGATCATGAAATTGGTGTCAGATGGGCTGGTCCAGTTCCTCACACGGAGGACAGGAGATATCATCGGAGCTCTTTCCAGGGAGGAGATGCTGCATGAGGCCATTAAGAATGGGTCTCTCAAAGCCTGGGTTTCACCATAAACCTCACCAGCCCTGGCCTGTGTTCCTATCACCATAAGAACAGCCTCACCACCCCACCCACTTCAGTCCTGGCCCTGGGAACTTGACAGACGCAGATTGTCTTCTGAGTGCAGATTCTGAACCAAACACTGGGGGGTCAGATAAAAATATGGTATGTGGCCCTGGAGGAATTTGCGTTTCACTGAAAAGGAATGCCATGTACAGAGACAGTGTCTGCCGGACTGCCTGGTGGATAGAGGCTCTGGTCTGTGTGGGCTCAGGGAAAGCTTTGGTGGGGATGGTGGGGTTGACAGCTAGCTAAGGCTGACTCTTCAAAGATCAGCAGAGGTGTTGGAAAAATAGAAGAGAAAGAGCCTTCTGGATGTGGGGTGGGGAGGAGAAAGGCAGAATTTTTTTTTTTAAATGAAAGATTGCTGGCCTAGTATGGATTCTCGAGCCAGATGAAGGGCTGTAGAGTGTTGCCCAAACCCGGGACATCACTCCACGGCAGACGTGAGGCCGCTCCCTTCCCAAATCAGGCTTGGGCCTACCCAACTCTACAGAGACAAAGGCCACAATACCATAAAGTCAGTCAAGCTTCTGTCCCGCCCCCCCCAAAAAAAAAACTGTCTTCTTAGAAATCATGTGACCGGCAGTCTGCTAATCTGACTGGTGACTTGGAGAGCCCCTGTGTGCTCCCCTCCTCACCCTCCTCACCCTCCTCACCCCTCCACCAGCTGCTGCACTTCCTCCCTTGACCTCTCCCTCCCTCCCCCATACTCAAGCTATGTAAGCCAACCCCACCATTTCAATAAACAGTCCTCCGGAACCGGGACATTCATACCGGGCCACTGGAGACCTGCTCCCCAGCTCCTCTGCATCCTGGGACTACCAGTGCACGTTAGAGTCTGGGGACCCACAGCCTAGCATGCACTAAGCCCTGATCTGAGTTCCTTTCCTAGCATAAACCAAGTGTGGTTGGCACACACCTGTAACCCTAGTACTTGGGAGGTAGAGGCAGGAGGGTCGAGAAGGCATGGTCATCCTTGGCTATGTAGCAAGATCAAGGTCAGCCTGAGCTACATGAGATCCTGTCTCAAAAGACAAAAACCTGTAGAGTATCCAAAGCCTAGCTGTCACTGAGGTGTCCCTGAGGGACCCACGTACACATCTGCTCAGTGGGGAAGCCTCCTGTATCCTCTAAAGGGCCTCCTTCCTGAGGCTGGGCTCCAGAACTGGTGCTGAGGCAGAGCCAAGCTGTGGGGTTGGCCTGTGAGTGGCAGTGGCAAATTAGGGTGTTAAAGCTGGACATAAACTCGGGACCTCCCACCATGGGCTTTGGAATGGAGCGTATAACTAACTCCTGGCTAAGGACCAGGACCCTCTTCACCAGCCATAGGAAGTAAGGCTGGATTGTTAAATAGAAGCTAGAAGCTAAGCAGAACTTTCTAGATTCTGTACCTTTCATCTGGACTCTAATTGTGTAACTAAATATCTGGAATTCAGAGAGAAATTTAACGACCCGAAATGGGGCATGAGGAGAAAACAGGAAGAGCTGTGCCACCAAGGGATGGCAGGAAGTGGATTCACAGATGTGCTCACCATCTGAGGCCTGGAGGCCTGGTTCTCATTTCCTCTGACCAGGCATTCCAAGCCCCACCCCCGCCCCTTGAGTCATGTGGACTCAGGCACAGCCTCTGGTCAGGCACCACCTGTCTGGCCAGCCTCTGCCAAGACCAGCTTTATGATCTGAATAAAGTGGTAGTGAAATTAATGGCATCCTGATGATGTGACTGAAGCCATCCCCTTGTGTCTCCAAATAGGAATGAGAGAGGAGATGTCCCTGGGACGCCAGGAGGCTTTTGAAATTTTCAAGAGGGACCACGCTGACAGTGTCACCATCGAAGACAACAAACAGATTCTGAAGCAGAGGTAAGATCCAGTCAGAGTAGCTGTCCCCTCCCCCAGGCTTAGGTAGGCCAGTCCAGAGACTTCCTAGTCTGTCCTTCTAGCTAGTCAGCCTAATGTCTGCCAGAAAGTCCAATGTCTACAGTTTCACATTTCCCTGCATGCACCCTGTTATAGTTCTCTTCCATGTGTGAGCTTCCCCATCCCAGTGCTGCTGGGGTAAGCCACTGGCGGGTCAGGGGTCGGCTACGGATAGCATTAGCACTCTGGACAATGCTCACATTGTATGTGTTCTCATCAGCCTAGAGCTCTTACAAATGCCCTCAGCATCTTCAGGGGCAAAAATTCAAGCTGGGAGCTGGCTCAGTGGGTAAAGGCTTGCTATGTAAGCATGGGGACCTGTGATCCAGTCACCAGCACCATGCCCCTGTAATCCCAGCACTGGGAAGACAGAGAGAGAAAGCAGGTTCTCTGGGACTCCGTGGCCAGCCAGTCTAGTCAAACAAATGGGGCCCCAGGTCAGCTTTTAAAACAAAGTAATAGAAGACAATGGAATTGGCCTCTGGTCTACACATACACAATTTTTTAATGTGTAGACAAAATCACATTTTTAGGTCCTCCATATTTTTGTAAAACCAAGAGTTGGAGTAGATGAAAGGCCTGAGCAGAGAGGTGAAGGTTTAACATGACTGCCGCCTGGAGGAGTGAGAGACTCAGCTGGGAAGGGCCAGAGGACAAACTCGGACTGACGGCTCCTTCCCCAGGGCAGGGGCAGATCTCAGAGCTCCTCGGGAATCCAGTAACACAACTCATATCCAACACTCTGGAGAGCAGTCCAGGTCCTCTCAGTCCGGAGAAGTGTGTGCACCTTGTGACCTATCAATTCTATTTGGGGGTAAATATCCCACTTGGGCTCCTAAAAGTGCACATAGAACCTTCATGGCCGCACTGCTTGTAGTTAGCTATAGTTGGACATACTCCAGGTTCCCGTGCTGAGCAGCTGACAGTTAATATAACAGGAAGTCCGTGGATTAGGATGTAGTGTGGTGGCGGTGGGGGTGATGGATTAGATATGTGTATGTCAACAAGGATAGATCTTACCGGCACAACATTAGGAAGGAACACAGTTCCAAAACATTACAGATGGACCAGCCCAAAACCAAACCGAGACCCGTACAAACAGATCCACGTGAGTGTACCATGCAAAGGGAAGTCCTGGGGGTCGGGGGTAGACAGACGGCTCCCTGGTTAAGAGTGATTGCTACTTAAGCATCAGGGCCTGATTTCAGATCCCAGCACCCATGTAAGACTCTGGACTTGGCCACTCAGGCACCTCTCACTCTAGTGCTGTGCGGGGTGGAAACAGGAAGGTCCCTGGAGCTTGCTGGCTACCAGCACAGCTCTGACTCAGGGAGAGATGCTGTCTCAAAGGAATAACGTGGAGGCTGATAGAGTGGGACCTGGTGTCCTCCTCTGACCCGGACATATACACAGACACTCACATCCAACACACACGTACACACACCACACATAAAGAATGGAAGCTGGAAGGAGGGGTGGATAAAAGCAATCAGAGCCAATGACCAAAACCAGGGGAAGGAGGAAGAGAGTGAGTCTGGGAAGAACCAGAGACTCTCCCTGGAAGCATGGACGGACACACACTGGCTTCAGTCTTAGCATCTGAGACAGAAGGTATTCAAACCTGCTGACGCTTCTGCTCCCCTGCATGTCACACGTTCCTGACATGGCCAGGGGGATGTCAGAGCAGGCTACCTTCCTTGGGTGTCTGGAAACAAGATTGTCAGCTGGACGGCAGCTGCTCCCTCCTCTAAGACAGCTCTCCACCGAGCCCTAAGGCTTCTTTGACAGCTCATAGTCATGAATTCCTAGTGAAATGATCCCAGGAGATAGATACCCAGCTCAACCAAGCCGGGGTCCGACTCCCCAGACACTCATGTAACTAGGTGTGGACTGAGCATCCCTTTTCTGTAAATGGATTCCACTAACAACCTGATTTGGAAACCACTGACCCAGAGTGTTCAGCAACCTTGACATCCAGAGCCTTGGAAGGAGGAGTCCCTTAAAAAAAATTCAGAGGACCTAGGAAGATGGTCCTGTGGGTAAAATAAATGCTTTGCCATGCAGGCATGGGGATGTGAGTTCAATCCCCAAACCCCACTTTTATTATTATTATTATTATTATTATTATTATTAGTAGTAGTAGTAGTAGTAGTAGTAGTAGTAGTAGTACAGTGGTGCAGTGGGGTGTGTTTATAACACCAGAACTGGGGAGGTGGAGGCTGGTGGGAACGGGGGAGGTGGAGGCTGGTGGGAACGGGGGAGGTGGAGACTGGTGGGTTCGCAGGGCTCAGCAACCACTAGCCCAGCTTACTAGACAAGTTCCAGCTAGCGAGAGAACTTATTTCAAAAATCAAGTGGCAGTGCTAAAGGAATGATACCCAAAGCTGACTTCAGTCTACACCTGTGTGTGCGCCCACACACACACACACACACACA